TTTTTTATCTAATTAAAATATTTTTTCTGTTTAATTTTTTCCACATCGAAAAAGATAAACATTAATCTCTTTTCATGAACCCCAACACTACGGCTACACGCAAGCACACTAACAGCAGGTACGCCTCCACCCCAGTTCTAATGGATCCCAAAGGCACCATCATCTTTTCCACCATCAATAGGCCAAACTATGTCCTCGATGTCTTTTCCGTCCAACTAAACCACATCACTGCCGCCACTAAGGACCGCCTTACTGATGGCTGCTCCATCAACTTCAACACCCAATTTGTTGATGAAGACCAATCTGTTGTCTTCGTCTCTGAAAGATCAAGATCGCCTCGAATCTATCTCACTCGCCTTGGCCTACCCAATCCCAAGTAGCTAGCATCCGTGCCCCACAACCTCTTTCATGACCATTCCATCCTGAAGAACAATCACCTCTACTTTGTTTCAGCTCAAGAGTTGCCCGATTGCCAATTCCAAAGCTGGGTAGCTCTTCACTCAACCGAAATCGGTGATAAGGACAAGAAAATTACGCGGTTGACCCCTTACGGAGCTGTCGATTACAGCCTTGCAGTTTCCAAGTTTGGGAAATTTCTTGCCATCGCATCTTATGGGTCTCGCTCGTGGGGCGGTGGATTTCACGAGCTCAACACGGATATAGTTGTTTTCCCAGAATCCGACTCAAGGATGATGACGATGATTCGAGTGATGGCGAGGATGATGAATCAAACGCTGAGAGTGATTTGTCTAACGATCCGTTGGCTGAGGTTGATTCGGACGATGGAGGCTTCATCGCCGTAGGTGAAAGCAGAGAGTGTAGACGAAATTCATTTTTGAAATTGAAATTCATGGGTTATAAGGTGAAATTGAAATATATGAAATTTATACTTTTGAATTATTTGGGTGAAATACATGTATTTCACTTAGATTTAATAATTTTTTATTTAAATAAAAATAAATAATAATATTAAATCTTAAGTGTCCAAATTCAAATATGCCCCCTAAAATTTATGATCTCAAACATAGCATAACAGATTTTTAATGTAGGAATTGAAAAGGAATCAGATTTTTAAATTTTAATAATCAAATAAAAAATTTCTTATATTTAAGAACTAACTCGGGGCTTGTGCAATAGCTCTAGGAGTAAGATGGGAATTTAACAAAATAATAATAATAATAATAATAATAATAATAATAATAATAGTAAGTCTTTGCTTGATGATTAAGTTAGCAGCCCTATAATCTCCGTAAGTTTCATATTAAATTTTGTTGTGTATGTGTTTAACTCAACTTGATATTAGTTTTTTTTTCTTTATTTCTTTTTTTAAAGTGAAGGCGAGTGTGTCTCCGGGCACATTTGGATACTAATCATTTAAGAAAAAAATTAATATTTTTGATTGCTCTCCTAAAATTTGAATTTTAAATTCAGCTTAAAAAAACTTACTTATTAGTAAAATTACTTCATTAGGTTATTATTTATGATTTTATCTAACGATGAATTTGAATTGTATTATATATATTATAATGTGAATTTATATGTTTCTACCCCTTTTTATAACGATATATTTAGTTTTAAAGAAACAAAAAAATGAAAAATATAAATTTTTTTATGAATCAAATGACACTAATTTTAAATATTACAACTTAATTAATTAAAAATATTATTATTTTTTTTATTTTTTTATTTTTCTCAAACTAAACATTATATAAATTTCACTCCTCCTTTCCCGAAAGCAAGAATCACCGCATTTATTTAATACATTTGGGATATTTTATAACAAAATTGCGTTTTTAAGGTGGTATGTCGCAGAACAAGACTCAAGCTAGACCCCGTGCAGCACTTAGCTCAGAAATAACCCCTTAAACCCGAACTAAGTTAGCTTTCCCCAACACTTGGCATGGCCCTCTTACTAGGCTTGAGATTAGCAACACATAAATATAAAGGTAGGAAGTTGGGAGAAGACAAGAATTTATTAAGATCGCAAGGAAGTGTACAAGAGCTTGAGTACAAACCCTCTTTGCACTCACTCACCAAGCAGCTCACTCTTTTTCCAGCCCACTCTCTCAGCCAACTAACTCTCTCTTCTATTTGGCCTCCCTATTTATAGAAAAGGTCTGGCCCAAGTCCCTTTACAGGTAAGTCTCTAGAACACCCCACAAAATTCCCTCATATGTACAGTTTCCAGAATCTTCTCCACTCTCCCTCCTAGCTTAGTCCTACATTATTCTAGAACAACCCATTCTAGAATTTTGTACAAAGCCCCAGGAGTTTCCCAGGTCGGGCTTGGCCCATTAAGCCTTTCCAGACCCTTGTCTGGAACTATTCCTGTGCGCCCAACAGCTTCTAAAGAGTTCTAGACCGTTCTAGTCTGCCGCAAACGTGTCGACACCATATCCCTGTGTATTTCTTGCGTGTCGACACTTCTTCTACCGCTGGCATTGCACGCTTTGTGGACGCTCTTGGCCGCTCCAATGTGCGCCAATGCCTCGAGCTTGATTGCACCCCCCCGTGCGAGCATCTTGACCTAGGTTGCCCGTGTGTGCACCCGTGTCTCAAGCTAGGACACTCTCGCGTGCACACACATGTTGCCCCCGACTGCTCCGGCACACTCCCACGTGTCCTGCCCACAGCCTCATGCAATGGCCTTGGCATTGAAGCCTCCACTGGCAAGGCCCGCTGCCTCTTGAGCGTTCCACCTTGCGCCTATGCCTTGAGATGCATAAGTGTCATAATCGCAACCCCATGCCACGATACCGCACCTACATCCTACATGCCCACGTCCACGCTTGCACTTGCGCTCATGCTTGTGCTTACACTCTGCGGCGCTGCATGGCATGCCCCCTGGACGTTGCACACTCCCCCTGTGTGCCCGTGGTTGGAGCTCCATGCCATGATGCCCTTGACTTCGGCCCTCAAACTCACGTACCGTGACACTTTCCCCCACCAAAGCCCTTGAAGCCCTCATCAAGGCGCCTCCCTTTGAGTGCCTCAATCCCTCCCGCAAGTCTGCGTTGCATCCTCACCCTGCTGCCGCCATGAGTCGCCCATGTCCTGTGCCACGTCTCTGGCCTCCTCAGGCTTGGGTTCTATCGTGTGGCTGGACTCTTTTAGCTTGGAGGCATTGCTCCCTTGCCTCCGCTGCAAGTTGTGTGAGATTTGCGCCATGTCCTTTGCCCCCCCAGGCTTGGACTTCGCCGTGTGACTGACCTCCATCGCGGGACTGGACTCCACACTAGCCCTGATGATGGCATTGAGTGCATCCCTCTGTGGACACTCCCTTGTCTAATGTGGCCCTCCACATAGGAAGCACTCTTGCTTCCTCTTAGGTCGCTCACGGTTGCCATCCCCCGTGGTTTCCATGCCCTCACATGGATTGGAGGTTCTATGTGGCTTGTCTCACCCACCACTACTTGCAAGGGACCCTTGAAGCTCTTTTACAGCCCTACTCATGTTAGCAATAAAAGAGTTGAAGGCACCTTGAAGCTTACCTCGGAGTCTTTCGACATCGTCGCACCACTCCTCCTCCTCGAAGTCAAGAGTGTTAAGCTGCTCGTGGACGTCCCCCATGGCTAACTCCATCTTGGCTAGCCTTCCCTCAAAGGCTATCATGACGTCCTTTGACGCTGGTGACACCGCCCTCAACCTTCTCTTCCTTCTCACGTCCCCACGCGTCTCTTGTCGACCTTGTTCTTCCTCTGGAACCTTTAGAATGTCGCTTGCCTCCATGCCTTTGCTGGCCATGGTTATGGTTTCCCCCTCGTAACTAGGCTCTCAACAAGCTCAAACCAATTTCTGCAATAGGCTTCGAACTGTGCTCTGATACCACTTGTCACGGGACGAGACTCAAGCTAGACCCCGTGCGGCACTTAGCTCAAAAATAACCCTTTAAACCTGAACTAAGTTAGCCTTCCCCAACACTTGGCGTGGCCCTCCTATTGGGCTTGAGGTTAGCAACATGTAAATACGAAGGTAGGAAGTTGGGAGAAGAAGAAAATTTATTAAGATCACAAGGAAGTGTACAAGAGCTTGAGTATAAACCCTCTTTGCACTCACTCACCAAGCAGCTCACTCTTTTTCCAACCCACTCTCTCAGCCAACTAACTCTCTCTTCTATTTGGCCTCCCTATTTATAGAGGAGGTCTGGCCCAAGTCCCTCTGCAGGTGAGTCTCTAGAACACTCCACAAAATTCCCTCATATGTACAGTTTCCATAACCTTCTCTACTCTCCCTCCTAGTCTAGTCTTACATTATTCTAGAACAACCCATTCTAGAATTATGTACAAGGCCCCAGGAGTTTCCCAGGTCGGGCTTAGCCCATTAAGCCCTTCCAGACCCTTGTCTAGAATTGTTCCCGCGCGCCTAGCAACTTCTAGAGAGTTCTGGACCATTCCAGTCCGCTGCAAACATGTCGACACCATAACCCCGTGTATTTCTTGCGTGTCGACACTTTTTCCGCTGCTGGCATTGCACGCTCTGTGGATGCTCTTGGCTGCTCCCATGCGCGCCAGTGCCTCAAGCCAAGTCGCTCGTGTGTGGACCCGTGTCTCGAGCTAGGACACTCTCACGCGCACACGCATGTCACCCCTGACTGCTTCGGCACGCTCCCACTTGTCTTGCCCACAGCCTCATGCCACGGCCTTGGCATCGACGCCTCCACTGGCAAGGCCCGCTACCTCTTGAGCGTTCCACCTTGCGCCTATGCCCTTAGATGCATAAGTGTTGTAATCGTAACCCCATGCCACGATACCGACACCTGTGTCCTGCATGCCCACGTCCACACTTGCGCTTGCGCCTAGGCTTGTGCTTACACTGTGCGACGCTGCATGGCATGCCCCCTGGACGTTACACACTCCCCCTGTGTGCCCGTTGCTGCAGTTCCATGCCATGATGCCTTTGACTTTGGCCCCCAAACTCGCGTACCGTAACAAGTAGCTCCACATAGGCAGTTTGTACTGAATTACTTTTTGGAATTGTCTATCTTATATCTTTAGAACACAGAATAAGAAATATTAATTAAATAATAATTATAATATTTTTTAAAAAATATGAAATTTTAAATTAAAAAAATTTTTACTTTAGTCTATCAATTATTATACAGATCTTTGATTTAGTTCCTATTATTTATTAATTTAGTCCTAAATTAGTCCTTTTGTTAAAAAATAATTAATATATCTGTTACTTAATGATAAAAAATCACTACTTAACTGCCATGTGTCACATTAATAATGAAGCATGTCATTTGTTTTTGTATGAAAGGATCAACTTGGAACTAAATTGATAAACAATAAGGACTAAATCAAAGATTTTTTAGTTTAGGGATCAGATCTAAGGTCTATACAATAGTTGAAAGACTAAATTAAGGATTTAGCTTAAATTATTATATGAACCCTTAAGTTGATTCTTAAATTAAAAAAAATAATTTAATTCTTAAAAAAAAGGTTAAACCCTACATTTTTTATCTTTAAAAATTTTAAATTAAAATTTTAAAAATTTAATAATTCTTTAAAAAAAAAAAGAAAGTAAACCCTACATTTTTTATCTTTAAATTATTGGT